CCCTATTACCCCGGGGCCTCATGAGTTGTCAGTCCGCTCCTGCACGTGTCTAATGTTCAGTGTACATGAGCCATATTGGCCAACACAGGTTTTCAGGGTTGACATGGAAAGGTCAACTTTGTGTAATCAGTGATTACACACAATTTATATTTACTTGTGAATCCTAAACGAACTGCGCATGCACAAATTCATTGGCCTTCAGACATTCACGAATGTTGTCAAAATTGCATACAACACATCAATGACTCATTCTGGGGATGACATGTACAACATCCATAGTGTGTAATCAAGGGCCCCAATGCTGCTGATTACACATCGTTGGCATGCCAACCCTTTAGCAGTGGCAATAGCCAACAGCATAGGCTAATGCTGTACACATGCAAGTGTAGAACAAATTTAACATACGTACACTGTATGAGCAAGTTTTTATGTGGGATCTGCTCCCAGAAAAATCCTTTGTGAAGACATATGCATGCATGTGTGCATGAGGCCTTGATATTGTAACTTGCAAAGTGCACAGTCTATTTGCCTTTAGTAAATCCACCCCAATACATCCGTTTTGTAAGTGCAAAAAAATACCTGTTAATCCTGAAAGAAGACCATGCTGCCCTATGTCCTATTGACTCTGCAATCCCATCTCAAATAATGGTGTTAAAAATTGTGTTAGGACTACAGAACACCTTCTCCTCTTCACTGTAAGATAGGGAAGGTGTTCTGTAGTTCTGACACATTTCCTGTCATAAAGGAGACAAGATTTCTAAACAGATAATGTACAGAGCTTTGTAATTCTAGGACATGAACACTAGGTGAAAGTAAAGCCTGTAAAAAGATAACTAATGCAGATATTACATCTAAAGGTTGGAAAGCTGTAGTATATTATATTTATATTTAGATAGAAGCCCTGTCAGCAGTGACAACGCGCCGCTGGGTGGATCCGCTTTATAGGCAAGTCTGTCATAATGTGCTAGTATGTGGTGCCTACTAGCACTATATGACAATAACCTGCATGGGGACCATTTCTAAAGGCTGGTGGTTCTAAAGGCTCAAGGTTTTTTTTTTTTTTTATACCTGTATGCAGGTAAACATCCTTCTGTATGCAGCAGTCCCCCCCCCCCACAATACTTACCTGAGCCCCATCTCGATCCAGCGAAATGTTTATTGTTTTTTTTTTTAATGGCCCTTAATTAATGGTGCACTGAAATGAAAATTCTGGACCAAAACCAAAAATTCAGGATGCACTTGACCGAAAAACCAAAAACGGACAGTTTTTTTCAAAATTTAAATACATTTTTTGATATACATATAGTTGTATTATATTCGACTTTTAAATTAATATCATGAATTTAAATGAATATGAATTTAAAAAATAAAATCCAGTAACATAAAATAACTTATTAATTAATAAAAAACTTAAGTAACACAAAAATTGGTCAGAAAATAAAATAAAAAAAATTTAAATAGAGGTGTTTTTGCATTGAAGTCAATAGGGGGCATTTTTGCATTTAAGTCAAAGGGACCTGATTTTGCATTAAATTCAATAGGGGCGGTTTTGCATTGAAGTCTTTGGGTTTTGATTTTGCATTGAAGTTAATAGAGGGACATTTTTGCATTGAAGGAAATGAGACACAATTTTGCATTGAAGTCAATAGGGGGCGTATTTCCATTGAAGGCAAAAGGTACACAATTTTGTATTGAAGTCAATGGGATTCGATTTTGATTGAAATCAATGGCATGCGATTTTTTCAATTGAAGTCAATTATTATTATCGGCACTTTTTTTTTCTATCAGCAAAACGCTGATAACTCTATTTTCGGATATATCGGTGCATCACTACATTTAATATCTCTAAGTTAGTTTACTACCCCTTTAGCATAGCATGTAGTAGGCAAAGTTCAATGCAAAAAGATTCTTATCATATGACATTATGTGATCCACTGCATTCTCCTGTACTGAAACCGTATCTATGACTCTTCATCTGATGTCCAACATCAATCAATAGTTATAGGGATTTTTTTAAGGCTGTATTTCTAACTGTTCCTGGCTCAGCCATCTGCACATTAACAGTAAACTGCTAGTCTTGCACTAAAATTCATATTTCACCTTTGACAGATGAGAAGAAGAAAGTCAGATTTTTAAAGGTTACGTTGACATTCTCAGCAGCATATAACTATACAGAGACTATGATGTAAGATTCCGTGTGTTGCAACATTAATATGTGGTTTGAATGCCAGTGCCCCTGATAAATGCCAGTGTCTCAGAATCATTTGTCTTGGACTACTAATCTATGTGGTTATCTTGTAGTTTCTTAATACACACATTTCATTTTTAAACGTACAAGGCACGTTGTTGCCTTTTCTAGCCATACCTACAAGAAAGCATGTAAAAAATGCAGACCACAGCTCACTCAGCTCCTTTTAATTATGTTGACTTGAAAGTTCAGAGCAATTTGCAAAACAGGAGCCCACAGCAGCCACCCTGACAATATTTCTCACATTCCTCTTATTGGCCGATATGGATTATATTCACTTTGCAGAAAATAACTTCAAAGTATACTCTAGATCAGCGGTTCTCAACCCTTTCACAGGGGTCGCCTAAGACCCATGCTACACCATGCTTCAAGACAAAATTTCATTTATTTGTAATTAGAAATAAATATTTCACAATATAATTACATATTGTTTTTGTGATTAATCACTATGCTTTAATTATGTACAATATGTAACAATGAAAATACATCCTGCATATCAGATATTTACATTACGATTCATAATAGTAGCAAAATTACAGTTATGAAGTAGCAACGAAAATAATTTTATGGTTGGGGGTCATCACAACATGCGTAACTGTATTAATGGGTCGCGGCATTAGGAAGGTTGAGAACCACTGCTCTAGATGGTATAGGGTACCATCCCTGCTTCACAGCTTCGACTCCAACATTTGATTTGTGTTGGAGATGCCATCAAACGACGGGTACACTCCTGCACATTTGGTGGGAATGCCCATTGTTGCAACCCTTCTGGGGGAAAGTACAATCTACAATCACACAAGTTACTACATATGCCCTAGACCTTTCCCCCTCACAATTTTTGCTTCACCATACCGCTCTTCCATTTCAGACATACCGCAAATCACTCGCCATGCACATGGTAAATGCTGCAAAGCAATGTATCTCAGTCCACTGGCGCTCAAGACATGTTCCCACTATACGAGAATGGTTTGCTAAGATCGACAAAACTGAGGAAATGGAGGAACTGATTTCTATAGCTAAGGAACATCTCGAGAGATTTAGGAAAACATGGGCATGCTGGAGTCATTTCAAATCCACTTCTACCTATCACCTAATAGTAAAGGATCAATCTATATCCGCTGACTGAATGTCCTAATACAATGCGGTATTGGGAAATACCCGGATCACCGGGGACACTTTTACCTTACGGGGTTTTTGATCCACGGGTTACCCCACTGACCGATCTTGCACGTACCATATTCTAAGCCTTATTACTACCTTTCTGTCTTGGCTAATACTTAGGGAAGTGATCCAATTTAACTTTTTATTACCTAAACATTCTACTGTCACTTAACCCCTTACTCCCCCCCTCCCCAAATTATTATTTTTTTTTTTTTTTTCTTTCCCCCATATTCCCCCCACCATCTCATCCTACATTTCTTTTTCTTACTGTTCTTCTTTCAGACCTCCTTTTTTTTCACACCTGTTATACCACCTTATCATTCATTCATCACCAACCAAATAGAGCACTTACTTCCATACAGATATGACTAACCTCAACTATATCATACACTCAAGTTATAAATACGTAAACCATGACTTTCACAGCATCCAATGCTTTCCCTACCCTAATCTTCATATCACCTCATCATTTACATTGTATGCCTGACGTAATGTTCTACCCCATTTTGACTTGTATTACAGTTTACAATATGTCCTGTCTGCGAAACGAGAGGCAACATGTCATGTTTATGTTCTGACTGTGATCTATAGCTGTATATGCTCTATATGCCATTTTGTTTCTTCTTATATTAATTAAGTATTTTTGGAACATATATTCACTTTGCAATTTCCTGTTCTCTCCTTGTCATGTGCTCCAGATAAACTCCCTTTAAAAACACTGAAATAAAGGAAACTACTGTAACAAACAAAAGGATTGCTTCTTTAATATCCAAGTTTGAAATGGAAAAAATAAAGCTGAAAGTAGCTCTTTTCACACTGATCCACTGCAAAAACACAGGAAAACGCAGAGGCGTTTTTCCTGCGCGTTTGCCGAACTTTGAGCATTTTTAAAGGACATGTGACTTAAAACTGCACCAAATACGCTTCCCAGAGGCGTTTTTGAGGCTCTTTTTGGACGCTTTTCAGGCATTTTCCATTGATTTCAATGGGAAGAGGCTTTTTTTAACTCACCAAACATGCCCCAAAGATGCTACAAGCAGGAGTTTTTACACAGCACTGCAAGTGCAACGCTCAGTGTGAGAACATACATTAGGTACATATTTGCATACATAGGGAAGCATTTTTCTTGAGTTTTTCATGTGATTTTTTTAACGCAAAAACACTTCAAAAACTCCTCAGTGTGAAAGTAGCCTAGTGTCCTTCAGCTTTGGTGCATGAGATGCGCTTCACTGACTCAGAGTTTTGAACACCATTGATAATAGATTCTGTGTTCGTCTTTAGAGATATAAACAGATTGTAAGCTCCGAGGAGCAAGGCCCTACTATCCCTGTTGTATTGTTGCTGTATTGTCTCCAATTATATTGTAAAGCACTGAGCAAACTGTTGGCGCTATATAAATCCTGTATAATAATAATAATATAAACATACCACAAACCATATAACTCAGTTTACAAAAAGTATTAATCTTAATTCCCTATCTATTAAGTTACAGGCTGTGTCAGTGCCATGCCCTATTCTAAAATGCCTTAGGAAAGGCTGTATTAGGTGTCTATCAGAGTTGTACAATAGCACAAATTTTGTATATGGAAACTTACTTGGACAGGGAAACGCCTCCAGCTTTGCCAATCATATCTTCATGATGCAGTACAGCATCATTCCATGGAATCGTGAGGAATTTCAAAAGTGTTCTCATCCATCGCTCTGGATGTAAAACCAGCTGTTCATAATGTACCAACATGCACCTGTCATAGCCCACCTCCATGCACTGGTTATACATTGTTTCTATAGCACGGTTCCACTTGGTTAGGCAGTCTCTGTAGCTGTTGAGATCAAACCCAGCAATAGTAACTTTTCTAGAAATCATGGAGTGCACTGAAGCACGTCCATCTCTCACCATAAGAAGAAATTTGGCATTGGGAAATATTTTGGCTAGGTACGATAAAGATTTTAAAGCAAATGGATCTTTATTACACAAGTAAGGTGCAGGTTCACACCATGTTTAACTATTATTTCCAATAAAAAAGCCTGCATGGCTGAGTCTAGCACTTCGTCTGTTACACCAGCTTCATCTAGGCGAATTTTTTCTTTGCTTGATCGTGCCCACATCTGCTTGACAGCTAAAATCCGAGGAATAACCCTGGTTTCTTCTCCACATCTAATCTCGGGATGGGCGTCAAGCATGGCACGCATGAGTGTAGTTCCACTGCGAGGCACTCCCCCAATAAATATTAATGGCATGTCCTTATTATATGTAAAGCTAGTGTTCACCCTTTGCTCAGTCCTTAATGTTGCTTTGGGGATTTCCATTTTGACTGGCTGACTGCGTTCTTCTATTCGATGGTGGCACTCCATTGCATGTTGTCCTAAGTAGAACACTGTCACTGAGCTTATTACAAGGCATGCCAGTAGCAGGTTTTGCTTTAGTTTTCCAATCATTTTGACAATGATGGAGGAGACAGATGGGAAGTGATATATTTTCTTTACAACCTCATGACAGATTTTACTCAAAATTGGTGACCGCCATCTACAGAACAAAAAAAAACAAAAAAAAGATCAACAGTTAACAATTACACACACAGTGATCGACTGAACAAGAGCAGTTGGTTTGCTTGTAAAAATGTTTTACTCATGAAATGTCAGGTAAATTGCTTGAATGCAACATTTTGGAACCTAAAATTCTACTTTAATATTACTTTAAGGAAACAAAGTGAAAATGGGTGAACAGGCAGGATTTTTAATGAAGACATGCTTTGTCTCTTCTGCATTAAAGCTATTTACCAGCCTTTCTGCCGCTGTATAAACTCAGCAGTGCTGAATTTTACAGAACTCCTGCACATGCGCGGTAGTGTCTCAGTCCAGCCAATGACAGTGGCCAGCAATCAAGACCCAGAAGCCAGCCACTCAATTATGTCAGTGGCTGGCAGTGTGTTCCAGGGGCAGCACATCACTGGATTCGAGGTGAATATAGTTCTGCATTAAAGAAGCCCAATTATTAATATTAAACCCTCAGTGTTTTTTTAATTTATCACATTCAGCAGAATAAAATAAACTCCAGTAAACTAAAATTCTTATCCCAGCACTTGCAGTTTACAACTTTCAAGTCTGCTGGCTCCTACTCTCTCAGTGCTGCTTCCCTGAAAGTCTTCCCAGTAAAGAGTTAGGAGCAGGCTATGGGGCATCCTAGGCTATGTGTTTCTATTGATGTACACGGTGTAGGGAGACAAAACTCCAGTCCCTGCAGGCAAGGGTGGCTCCAAAGGATGCTGCAAGAGAAAGGAGCCACCCCGAAACAGGAAACCTGGAGCAGCAATCACGTCACCACCTTAAACTGGAACATGGTCAAGGAGATGGGAAGCATGGGACAAGATGAAGAAGTGAATAAATCATCTGCTGAAAGTGGTGAAAAACGTATGGTTTTGATATCACCTTACCATTAAAACATCCCCACAGATTCCAAACTGCATATAAGAGCTTGCTCTTCTGGTTGCTGGATGAATAGGACTATTCAGCTTTCTTTGGCTGAGAAAATAGCAAGCTCACAAAGAATCATCTCTGAGAACCCACTAAAATCACTTAGTTTTTTTGAAGGTTGGTTTTGTGTCAGTTCTCTGCTTCACTAAAGAAAACACAAATCAGTTCTTAAGGCTCTGGATTCCAGTGTGATAAGGTTGGTAATTAGAAATTAAACATTACTTGTCAAGTGAAGGAATATATTTACTTTTCTATTTATGGTGATGAAAACTTCCTTTGAAAGTTTGGGAACCCAGAAAAATAAAATTCAAATACCCATGCTGTGTGTGGTACTGAATGGAGACCCAAAATGTATAAACATGATTTGTGCACTTTGCAGGATCTGTAAGTCAACATCAATGAGCACAATTGAAGCCTCCATAGGTAGCCTGTTATGACTTCCAATAAATGTGACTCATGGGTGCTTGCATGGATTATAATACAGGATTCCAGATGCTCTTCAGAGAAGAAAGTTGCAGTCCTCTTCCATTTTTGTAGCATAGCTACACTGACGCAACCACACTAGGCCCATCATTTACCACAGTTACCAATGTACTTAGTTGCCTTACAGATATTCATAAAGGAAAGTTCATACTAGTGCTAACTGCCTAAAGCTCAGTACACACTATAGGAAAATGGGATAAATGATTGATTTTCCGCCTCACAGTAGGTTGAAATCAAGAATGGTACTAACTGTACGAAAATTCTCATATGACGAAGGCTTTTTTTTTTTTTTTTTTTATTGTTTTCTGATCATCCGCAGTCTTTCGGATCCGATTTTTCTCACACAAAAAAACCGTACGAAAACTGTACACATAAAAACGAAAATCATTCTGTTCCCGTACAAGAAACATTTTGCAGATTGTCCCTTCAGAAATTTTTGTTTGGAAAGTCTGAATCAGATGTCGAAAGTTGTATGCACACTATACGAACATCAAATGATCATGCCTCGTACGGAATTTGTCTTCCAATCTTCTCATAGTGTGTGCCCCACTTAACACCATGCAGGCAAAACAGAGCTATGGATGAACTGACACAGCTGAATTGTTTAATGACTTTGCTAAAAGCCATATTTATAAAGCACTGAATGTGGCATCCACCAACTATTCCCAAAAGCGTCAGTCAAACACTGTAATTTAAAACACATGTATCAAGAATAAACAATTGCAGTGAATGCCCCATTCAATGCTTTATAAATATGCTCCCTAGACTGCTGTAGCAAGATCCAAAGTCTATGTTTGTCCCCCTCCCTTCTTTCCATGGCAGACCCTAGTGAAATGTCGGCGACACATGAGCAGAATTGATTTCACAAAGAATGGTGGGTGATTGAATCTCCTGACACCTAGCAACAGTTCTGTAAGAGCAAATAATATAAAACTAAGGAGCCAGGGGCACTTTCAGGAAGCCAGGAAAAAGCACATCCACTGACAAGAGCAGAACAGGCTGAAGAACACCAGATGCCATCTATATTTTTTTTTCTAACTGGTTCTTGAGATTTTACAGCTCTGCTGTAGTGTTTCTTGGTAGTAAAGTGGCTTATTTATTATTGTAAAACAAAGTACAAAAACTATATGCAAGAATGGATAAGGTGGAGAGGCAGGGTGGGGACATCAAAACCTCCATCATGTTCAGTCAGAGATTGCTTTGCATTCATTAACTGCTTCCCCGCTGCCCTATAGTAGAACTACTGCTACAGGACAGCAGTGCTGCGCAAAATCATGCATATATACGTGATTTGCATTTCCGGGTAGGGGGCACGCACATGCGCTGCCCTACCCACGCTGCTGTTGGTGGCTACAGATGTCAATCACCAGGTCCCAGCCGGAGATACTCCGCCGGCACCCGGTGATCACCGAGTAAGACTGACAGGGGAGAGATCTGTATGTAAACAACACAGGTCTCTCTCCTGCCAGCAAGCTCATGCTGCTGTGTACTTCTCTGTACAGCAGAGAAATACACAGCAGCATGCTTACCGAGTAAAACACACACAGCACATTTTGTAAAACTGCACACAGTTAACCCTTTGATCACCCCAGATGTTGATCCCTTCCTGCCCAGTGTAATTTGTACAGTGTCAGTGCTTTTTATTAGCACTGATCACTGTAGTAGTGTCACTGGAATGTCAGTGGCAGTTAGTCATTTCCCATCCAGTGTCAGAATGCCCGCCACAGTCCCGCTATAAAATCGCTGATCGCTACCATTATTAGCATAAAAAATTAAATACAAAATCCAGTATATATATATATATATATATATATATATATATATATATATATATACACACATACATACATACATACATACATACACACACACACACACACATATACACACACACACCACCACTTGTAGACAATATAACTTTCAGCTAAACCAATTAATTTACATGTATTGAGATTTTATTTTTTAGCAGACATGTAGCAATTAATATACATGTATTGGGATTTTTTTTAGCAAAGACATGTAGCAGAATACATTTTGCCCTAAATGTATGAAATCTGATTTTTTACTGGATATGTTTTATAGCAAAAAGTAGAAAATATTGGGGGGTTTTTTCCGAATTGTTGGTTTTTTTTTTGTGTATTGTGCAACTAATAAAACACACAGAGGTGATCAAATACCACTGAAAGAAAGCTCTATTTGTGGGGAAAAAGGACATAAATTTAATGTACAGCATTGCATGACCACACAATTGTCAGTTAAAGTAACAGTGCCGTATTTTAAAAAATGGCCTGGTCAGGAAGGGGGGTAAATCCTCTGGAGGGAAAGTGGTTAAAGACATTCAAAATGTTCTCTGAAGGGCACCATTGCTGAGTGAGTGACCTCCTGTGTTTAACATGCAGCAGGGCAACCGTTTAGCACAGGACCCAGAAGATAGCAGTGATCACTGGTGTAGAGGTGCCTACTGCAGTGATTTCCAGTTTCTATTGGGATCTTCCAGGCAAAGCACATGTATACTTACACTAGTACAACTTGGACCAATATAGCTGTGTAAAAAAGGCATACCTGGAATTCAGCTTTATGCTAAAACACTGCAAATGCTAACAGTGAGTTAGATTTACTAAATGCATATACACTATGCACTTTGTAAGGGCTTTTGCTTCAGAGCTTAGTAAATGGGGTAAAGCTTGACTTTGCGAACAATACCCATTCACATGCAAGGAAAAAACAACAGCTTACTGAAAATACAGCTGAACCTGATTGAGTAACATAATATAACAAAAAAAATGATGAAAAATGGGTAGCTCCATATTATAAATAAGATAAGCAAGTAATTTGTCTTTTACACTGTACAACCATAATGGGAATACCTGGGATAGCATAGTCTTACTTATGACCTAATTAGACACAAGAAGAAGAATACAAAACACAAGACAAAGAATCCAC